CGGTCACTCGGCGGTCACTCGGTCAGCGGTCACTCGGCGGTCACTCGAAAAATCAAATTTTGGGCAACCTGCGTGCTCAATGGGATGTTTGCTTTCTCGAGTCAGGAGGGAAGACCACGGCTTCGTGTAGATCGTATGGTCGACCAAGGAAACCGACGACGTGTCTGGCTATATCGGGTAGCGAACTTGTGTCGTCCACGCCCCACGGGACTTTTCAGTTGTCCACCGACCCAAACGCGACCCTGGACCCGAATTGTTGGGGTCTGGGGATGTCTGGGGTCTCTAATTAAATCGGTGAGCCAGTTGGGCTGTGAATGTACGGAGCTTGAGAAATCAGGGGTCTATGGCCAGTCCGAGACAGGTCGCGTCGAAGGTCGATGCCGTTCGCCAGCACCCCGTTCGAACGTTCGCTGCACGTGGGGTTTCTTCGGTGTTGTATCGAAGTTCCTCCGTCGAACAACCGGTCGGGTTGAACGTACTGTACCCAGACACTCCATGTATACCATATATGCCTACATTGACCCCCAAAACCACCCCAATGTAGGCATATATGGCATACATGGAGTGTCTGGGGTATACGTATGTAATCGTATGTATTAGACTCAAAAACCGGCTCAGGGGAAGCACTTATGCTATAAAAGCCCCTGCCAACTCGAAGCACGCAATCCCCAGTTCTTCATGTGGTAGTTGCCGAACTCTACAAATGATCCAAAATCCACCTTAACCATTCCAGGGCCCCCTGTGTGACAAGCTGCCATGCGTTGATCCTTTCCACATGGCCTCCCCCGAGACAAAGGACACCTGGCGCGTCGGCGCGTCCACTCTCGAGGATGCGAGGACTCCTCTCTCACGCGAGGACTCCGGATCATCAGAGCTCAACGTCACCCGCGCATGCCATGTCGTGTTGGTTAAATGATTCATTCATTTATCCTAGAGAAGGCGTCCGTGGAGTTCATCATGACGACTGAAGATGACTGAACGTGTTTTCTTTTTCCTGGGGAAGAAGCGGAAGAACATGTGTTTCTATGGTTTTGCCCAAGCAGTAGGTTGAAGGTCAGTCTGAATGCTCTTGGTTGTATTTTTGCCTCTTAGTTTGAGGATGACTGCACGAACAACTACAGGGTTGCCCACCTTAAAATGGGTAGGACTGTTGCCGGATCCTGTTGCCTGCCTTGTGCCTGTACGGGCAATCGTTCAACCTCATTTCAACATGGTGCAAACGGCAGGAATCTCATAGACCCGTTGTTTGATCACCCGTTGACTCGCCCGGGCTGCGAAGCGCCGGTCGGTTCCGGCATCGGACATTCAAACCAACAAATCCATCATAATCGGGTCGTGGCGAAAAACAAAAAAAAGGATTTAAATCAATATAAGTATCAATATAAACAGTATTTTCCTGACTCATCTAACAAAGAACAACACCAAGCACCTCGTCATGCGCCAGACGAGTCAATGTCAAAACTGAACCACAACATCTAGATCTGGCATGTATACAAGTCGACCCATGTTCGTTCGTACCTCGGATTTCATGGGGATCCGCTGCGGCATGGTTCAACGGAAACGAGGCATGGTGGGAACGCGGCCTGCCACTTGTCCCGCAGCGCGCTCTTCACAGCCAGCACTCCACTGTCATCTGGCGAGGTGTGTCAGTTGGGTCAGATGGCCTGAAAGAAGAAAAACACCAAGCCAACTGATAACAACTGGTAAAACCATGTTTGTCTCCAAAACAACTGGTAAAACCATGCAAAACCCTCGGTGATATCTGCGATTTCATGGGTTGATACTCGAATATATACTCGACAATATACGCGACAAATACCAGCCCAAAAAAGGCTACATGAAGTGCGCATGGGTTGGTGAGCATGGGTTGATTGATACTCAGTTGTTGCAGATATGTTCAGAATACTTAGACCTACTAGACCTACTGGGGTCCTGGAGATCAAAACGGAGGCTCCGCTATGACCTAACGAGTTTCGGTGGGTTCACCCACTCTAACGCCAGTACCAGCATCTTGGAGAAACTTTAACCTGGGAGTTGTCAGTCCTCAAAGAATCCGTTTCTTTAATCTCCAGCTGGGCCGCTGGGCATCGTCGAACGGCACCGATTTCGAAAGCGCGGGACACACGACGGCTCCCATGTCGCTCCGCTTGGTCGAGCGGTGGCGCGCTGGGACGAACATTCTATGCAGCCGAAAAAAGGGCCATGGCTTGAAGTACTTTCGTGCCCTCTTTGGTGGAAGGCCCCGTTTTGGAAGGCCACCCATGGCCACCCGCTCAAAGGAAGGAGGGGTCAACACTCTGCTTGACTCCTGGGGAAATTTGAACCCTGGAAACCTTGAAAACTGGCGGCAAGGGTCCATGATTCGCAGTGTCACACGAACCACACCTCGGTTTCTTCTTGAAGCAAACGACCGCAGTCCGACAAACAACATGAATTGGACAAAACATGAAATGTCTTGCAACAAAGCCATTTAGATTGGCAAGAACCTGACACAAACCAGCTCCCACCAGCCAACATGTTCCTGGATTGACCATGTAAGCAGATGTAAACTCTTGATTCATAAACCCTCTTGATTCATAAACCCTCACCTTCTCGCGCCAAAAGTACATCCCTGCTTACAAAAAGCAAGGTACTACAAGCTTAACACGTTTAGGATTTACATCCTACCATGAAGGTGGCGTGTCCAGACGTCCGGTGTTGCCCAACTCGGATGTGACATATAAGTATATCACACAGATGCTAAATGCCATGCCACATGATCCACCATATCACACGGAGATTCTCCCATTGGCTCTTTTATCTAATGGTTCTCATTGTCAGACGCCGAATTTACCGGAAGTCTCCAAAGGCAAACAGGATGCCTTCATCCAACATGTACGCTATGCCCTTTTTCGGGGCAAGCCATTCGATACCATAAAACACCCTGATGCCTCCTGAATTAGATGCAATCTCTTATGACCCGCAGTCAACCAGACAGAGTGCAGACCGGTCGTAATTAGGAATTTAGAGACCTCGAGCCATGTGCTGTTTCGTTCGTAGATGCCTGGTTCCGTAGACAAATTCTTTAAACATGTCTGTTTTTTGTACCTATCTTGGCATGAGACGTCTCACACCATTTACCCACCAGTACCCGCTGGAAACCCAGCAAGGGATTGAGTGGGGGCGCGTCGATTACCGTCCGCAAGTCCGTGCATCCAAGTGGGGGGTTCATTAATCAGGAGTCTACATATGTCTACATTAGGCATCCCTATTCAGGAAGACTTGCTGGCAAAATACCAGCACCTATAGATGACCCCCCCCCGCGTTTCAGGGACCCAGACTGACCCATGCCCACCCTGCCTTCTCCAACACAGGGTTCCAAAGAGGAAATCCCGGCCACGAAAATCTGGCTGCTGGCGAAACAAGACTTTGGGGATCATGCTGCCCAGCAGGGCAGCCATTGGGCCCATCTGAATCATGAACCTGCAAACGGAAAAATATAGACAAGAATGCCCGTACCATCCCGTACCCTTCGGATGGCATCTAGAATTTCCAATGCAGGTCTAAAAACAAACCATCCCCGCCCGCACATAGCTCCAATAGCAAACAAATCCTCACTCCAAACATAAAGCCGTGCAATTTGCTGGATCAACCAATGTTGATTCCTGTGGGCTGATCGAGCACATGTGAGAGAAAGGGCGACACAAAGAACCACATAAGAACTAGTGAAAAGGTCCCATTTCAAGTACGTATTTGGCCCGGCAAACGGAGCAGCTCCACTGGACTTGCTCACATCTTATTTCACCAAACTGGGGCCACGCAAGACACAAAAGCACAGCCAAACTGGGCCATTATGGAATAGAGTGAACTTTGTGGACCTGCGCAAAGGCTGAGGGATAATGCTGTGCTTTCCATCCTGAATCCTTCACAATATGTGGACCCGGACCGTGAAGGGTGGACACCATGAAGGGCCGTGAAGGCTGGTTAACTATCTCATTAAGGGAGAAAGATATCCGAGTAGGGTGTCTCTCACAATGCCACGCCAAGATATCATGAGCATTCTCATCCAGATAGTCACGCAGCTTAATATGTTTATAATGGGATGGGATGACCATGAAACATCTAAGCAACTTGAGGCACAGGGCCGCTGACGAGGTCTCTGTCACGGATTCGTCTCGGCCTCTGGCTGGCCCTTCTGCTCACTCAAATCCTGGATAAAGAAATGTCGCGCAGTTCAGAAAAAACAAAAAAGAAACTGTCGAGATGAAGCACGAAGTTCCGGTTGAACTTTGAACTCGGTTTTTCTCCCATTCCGCGCTAGTTTGATGCACCTGAACGACGGAGGTGGGCTTGCCTATGAGTTTCTATGGGGTGAAGCGCCGCCGAACGAGGCCGAGTTGGGCGTCCCCCAAAAGCACTCCGCTTGGGGGAAACGATCGTCAATTTCCGATTTCCAAGCAAAAAATGCATATAATGGCATTGCAAAGGGTGGCTGGATGTGAATCTCCACTTTGGAGCTCGAAACTGGGCGAAACTTCAGGTTTCGACGATGACTAGACGACTTCAGACCTCGTGGAATGACCGGAATGACCCGCCCATGGCATCCGGAAATCCACTCGACCACCGACGTTCAACCACAGCGAGGGACCCAAAAGTACACAACCCCGCTGGTGGTCAGTTCTATAGACATACAGTACCTTTTGAGTTGGAAGAAATCAATCACGTGTTCAATGCAGTGAATTTGATTGACCAAAAGCATATAATTCAACAAGGGTCAAAGAGCCACCCGATTGTCGGCGACGCAACAAAAACCCGCCCACGTACACGTCGGCTCAGTCTGTCATCCGGCACAGTTTCGGACATCGTAATCACCCTGAAGCGACCTGAACAAGGATTTATATACCCGAGTGGGCTCCCTCCCGTCCCTCCTCGTACCTCTTCAGGTTTTGGGACTCTCTAAACCCTTAACACCTTCTATAGGAAGGTACTTGCAGCCATAGGGATCACACATAAATGCTTCAACACAGAACTTCCAAGCGAAAACCGACGCCTTCCGACCTTGGGCGATCATCCCTCCGCGGGGCCCCGCGACCGTTCCCCCCGTTCGGAGCGCGACCGGGTCGTCCGTCCTCTAAGACCAACTGCACCAGGGCCTCGGTCCGCGTCGAAGGGGCCGGTCCGTGGCGGGCCGAAGGGGCCGAAGGGGCCGAAGGCCGTACAGAGAGGGGTCTCCAGACGGGTCATCCCCCATCCGAGACATTCTCGTTCTGTTCCGAACGACAGAGCGGAAAAGACAAGGACACAAGGGCGGTCACATCGATTTGAAGAGGAATTCATTGGATTTGTTAATAACATGATTTGTTTTTTTAATTCAGAATCTCCGGCAGAACTAATCTACAATGGCTTCCAGACCCACAACACAGTCAGAAATGTCTTAGTTGGTGGGTTGCCCATTGTTGTCGTACTGGATGAGTAATACCGTAATACCATTGACACCCACTGAAAACCCACAAAACACCGGCTATGACACGGAACCATCTAGACTCCAAACAACCAGCTTTTCATGGTCAGTTCCAACGAAATGCCATGTTGTGGTATAATGCAAGAGTCCACAGCATTTCATATTTAGTACTCAGTCTTTGAATTCACAAAGGGATTCTACAAAGCCTATATAGCAAACAGTAAGAGTCGAGCTTTCCCGGTGTAAAGGACGGACTATAAATGATTCTCAAAATCCCCAAACGGAAGCACCTTCGGTTTCGCACCACACTGGACGATGTTGAACCTTAGCACCGCCTAGCACCTGCATCCATCCACCCCTCCAGATCCGATCGCCGCGCCTTGCGTGGCACGAAGGCTTCGGTCTTCCAGCCGCTCACGCTGAACTCACCGGTGACGAACGCCCGGCGCCGCCACCTGCGTGGCGAAACGTGCCGGGGTCGGAGGGGTGTTGTTTCGTTCCCCCAAAGAGAGAGTGGCAGGGTGTCCAAGACATTCTGAGTGGATTCTGAGTGGGGATCTACTTTTTGTCCATCTATGTGGGGTCTGATACATGTTATAGGGTTTTCGTGCTGGCCTGGTGTATGATAATTATTGTATGATCCATGGGCACTCAGAGGAGACGGTTTCTCAGCGGAGAGTTGGCAACGCACGAAGATCGGTGGAAAAGGTGGAATGCTTGTACTTCGGACTGGCGGACAGCGGGTGAATATCTGGATTTGCTTCAACATTGTAGTATCCTACAGCTACAAGTACCTTCTAAGAAGGAGTTTGGGGTGGGTTTTGAGGGTCCAAATACCTGTGGAGGAGGCATGACTGGATCCCTAGGGGTAAAGTAATGTAACAACAATATTTGATTCGCTACAGAAGCATGTCTTTCCAATTGACCCTCAGTTAAAACCAAGCAATCAGTTTCCTCAATCTCTCGCTCTCCAGACTCCAGTGGAGAAAACAAACTTTTCGGAAGAGACTTGCAAATTGGCTGTTTCCACGGCTTAATTTGATACAAGCCTTAAGAATTATACTGTATACCCTTTCAATATGGTCTTTTGTAATATAATTACCTCTGTTACGCACATGCCATGCTTGGAAAAGCCGGTCGCTCGAGAAGACTCTACCAACCGGTCGCTCACCGATGCAAATCCTGGGGCGAGGAGATAGGCTGGGAGTCCATTTCCATGATTGGTCGAATTCCACCCCAAACTCTTTGGATGAACTCTCTCTATATACCATATACAAGTATGTACGAGAAGTCACCATGTCGAGGTGCCGAGCATGGAGGAAGTGGTGCCCAAGCCCCTTTGTGTGACTCCTGGTCATCACAACTCTCGCCCGCCCCGCTCGACTCGAGTCCAACCACCCCGCCCTCGAAAAAAACACCGCCTCCCGAAGCGCTGCGGACCTGGCGAAGCAGGACCGGGCGACAGGACCGGAACAGATCAAAAGGAAGTGCTGATCGGCAACAACGATGAGTGTCCAATGTTTCGTGCTCGCACCAGGCGATACCGTGCCCTTTTACTAGAAATGCTGAGATGTTGTTAAGGCCATCAATAGGGGATTTGAAGTCCTGCCAGCAAGAACAAATCTACACATGCCAACAACCTGCACTTTCCAAGCACCTGGCTTCAAAGAAAGTCCTAGAAAGTTTCCCCCAAAATCAATGCGGAATCATATGCCCAGCTCCACATACGAGAACTTGGTTGCAGCATCTGTGGCCAATTACTTGCCGCCAAGCCTTTATGGACCCTTTCGCAATGTGCCAACATGTTGAAACAACAAGTTGAAACAACAACAACAACAACAACAACAACAACAACAACAACAACAACAACAGCAGCAGCAGCAGCAGCAACAACCACAACCACAACCACAACCACAACCACAACCACAACCACAAC